GCCCCCCCCACCTGTTCGGCGGCCCAAACCTGCTTAGACCGCCCCCCCTGCTTACCCCGCCCAACCTGCTCCCCCGCCCAACCTGCTCAACCTGCCCAGCCTCCCGCTCGTCCTGCCCAGCCTGCTCAGCCCGTGTCTCCGGCCTGCCCCGCCCCGGCTCCCGTTCCAGCCCCCGGTAACGGCAACAACGCTGGCAACGGCACAGGCAACGGCACTGGCAACGGCACCGGCGCGGGTGCCGGAACTGGCCGTGGCAACGCAGGCAACGCAGGAAACGCCGCCACGCCCCCCGGTGCTCCCACTCCAATCCTCGAGCCCAGGCCTAATGCGGGTCCCGGCGCTGGAGCTGGAGCTGGTGCTGGCCGCGGAGCTGGCGCGACCAACGGCACGGCGACGAACAACGGAGGCAGGGCCAAGCGTGATCTATCCGTTCACGCGAGGGCCATGCCCATTGCGCTCGCTCTGGAGGCTTGAGCAAATTAACCCGTACATGGTGATGCAAGAAATCGTATTTAGGGAGGGACCTCTGTGGCCCGGCTGGGATCGGAGCTTGGAGTTGTTTCTTTGATGGGTCTGGGGGTCTGGGGAAGGGGGCTCAAGGTAGACCAGGTAGCGTGGCAGCTGTGCTGTTGCGGGAAATGATGATTGATTTCGATTGCATGAGATTGGAATTCGAAGAGACCGGATCACGCCAGTCCTGGTTGGGTGATGGCGTAGTCATGGCTGCGACAGAGAGTTGTCAGAGAATGTTGGGACGAGACTGAGTGGTGATGTAGGAGAGGGACGGAGCAAACAGTGGTGGATGAGTGGGTGCTGGAGCCCAGGACAGATAGAAGGGGGAAGGAGAAGGGGAGGGGAACCTTGCTGGATTGAGATACCTCTGTAACTAACCCATCTTTATGGCAGTCTCGCTCAGGATGTGCCTTCCCCGGATGCAAGAGCCAAGGGCGGGGAACAAAGTTAGAAGAATCTTACTTTTCATGGCATCGTCTTATGCCATCTCTTGATTGATCTCCTCTCAACAAGTCGACCCCCCACGAACCCATGTGCCTCTCAACACCGTCCACGTCCCGTCGCAGATACAGCAGATTACCGCACACTGCATGCCTTGTGCGCGCCGGACCACTCACAGGCCTCCCACGCCCTTTTCGGTCAGCCCAGTCGCAGCATCCACGCCTCACTCGTGGGCAGTCCCGTGGTCGTCTTTGGTATAAACGCGACGCTTTCGCATTCGCCCGCGCGCGCAACGCCTCTTCTTGTCCCGCAATGTCAAGACAGATGGCCAACGAAATCAAGCTCCTCAGTGGTAGCAGCCACCCCGATCTGAGCGCTCATGTCGCAAGCCGGTGAGTTGCTCCAAGCTCTTTTTGCCAATTCTGTGCTCCAGAAAGGGACACGGGCACAGGCAGTCTCCGCCAGGAAAACGCAAGCGCCTGAGCTCACAAAAACCGAAAACCGCCAGACTCGGCATCGAAATTGCACGTACCGTTTCCCAGAACTTTTCCAACCAGGAAACCTCGGTGACGATTGGCGAGTCGATCCGCGATGAGGACGTCTACATCCTTCAGTCGACCGCCACAGGCGACGTCAACGAAGGCCTCATGGAGATGCTCATCATGATCCACGCCTGCAGGACAGCCAGCGCCCGCCGCATCACCGCCGTCATTCCCTGCTACCCGTACGCCAGGCAGGACAAGAAGGACCGCTCACGAGCCCCCATCTCGGCCCGCCTCATTGCCAACATGCTGCAGACAGCCGGCGCCAACCACATCATCACCATGGACCTGCACGCCTCCCAGATCCAGGGCTTCTTTTCGGTGCCGTGCGACAATCTCTACGCCGAGCCCTCAGTCCTGCGATGGATCCGTGAAAACCGCAACCTCGACGACGTCGTCATTGTGTCACCAGACGCTGGAGGCGCCAAGCGTGCCACGTCCATCGCCGACAGGCTCAAGGTCAGCTTCGCACTCATCCACAAAGAGCGCCCACGCCCCAACGTCGTCGGCAGAATGGTCCTCATCGGCGAGGTCGCCGACAAGGTTGCCATTCTCGTCGATGACATGGCCGACACGTGTGGCACCCTCGACAAGGCCGCGAGTATTATTCGGGAGCACAAGGCCAAGGAGGTAAGTACGCTCCTGACAAGAACAGGGAGGGAAACACAATAAGCTGACCAACGACCCAGGTCCTCGCCATTGCTACACGTAAGCCCTCGAACCCCACGCTCATGATCGCCCGGGGGGACCATGCCGTCCCCGCCCCCTACCCGTTTGAATGCCCCTCCCTTTCCCCGCTGACCCACAACAGATGGTATCCTCTCCGGCAGGGCCATCGACACCATCAACAACAGCTGCCTCTCTCGCCTCGTCGTTACCAACACGGTGCCCCTAGGTGACAAGGTCGAGCGCTGCCCAAAGCTGCAGGTCATTGACATCAGCGGCACCCTCGCCGAGGCCATAAGACGGTGGGTTCCCAGCATATATGCGCCCCATGCCCTCTGCCCCTCTGCTAACAGGAGAAGTACGCACAACGGCGAGTCCGTCTCGTACCTCTTCACGCATGTCCCCGTGTAAAGCCGCATCGATCAGTGCATCTTGTTTCGGGATACTACCTAGGGATCAGCGCATCATAATCTTGGGATTGCGTGCATTGGATGGACTCGGGAAAGGTAGCACATTAGAGGCAAATGGTAACGTTACGAACTGTCAACTTGAACTATTTCTGTGATTGGCAAATATCTTCATTCTGATCTTGACCCAGCATCGGCGAAGCCCACGAAACGGCGCCCCGATTGTCTGTTTCGGTTTTTAGAGGGGCAAGGGGAGCCTTGATATCAATACAATTCTTTTCTCGTCCACAGAACGCCTCTGCCCCCCACCGTTTGTTTGTACTGGTACACTTTGCTTCTGTCTATCTGGACACCGCAACCCTTGCTCCCGCTCGAAATGCATCGCATCACTAGTATAATACACCAAAAAAATTAAATAAAAAACAAAACCACTCAAGGTAAGGAGCCGTCGCGGGCATGTGACGTGTCGCTCCTTCATCGTTCGGGTCTCATCATCGCTTGCGCATGTCTTTACCCTTTTTTTTCTTGCCCTTCTTCTTGTCCTTCGGCAGCTCGAGCACCGTCCCCTTGAGCTGCTCGCCCATGACGCGCAGCATGTAATCGTCAATGGTGCGCATGCGCTCGCCCCACGCGTTCGTCTCCACCTCGGCTGGCACGCCAGATGCATCGGGCGCCGCCGACTCGGAGAACCGTCCGAGACCCGAGGGGCCGGGGCCGGTGCCCGGCGCATCCGCGGACGGGTCGTCGCGGGGCGTGCCCTGCCTCGTACTTGATGCGCCCGAGTTGACGCTGCTCGTCTTCTCCTGAAAGTCGGCGTCGTCGGCCTGAATCTCCTTCTCGGCCGCCTTGGCGGCGGCGACGTCCTCCTTGTCTTCAGCAAGCTCGAGCACTTCGCCGACGTTGCGCGACTCGCTGCCGTTGGCGCCGCCGCCGAGGAGACGGTCCATGGCCGCGTTGGCGGCGGCGTTGCCGTCGTTGACAAGCTCGGCGTCCTCGCCCACGGCGTCGCGCACTGTCATCTTCTCGCGGAAGTAGTCTGTCGTGAATTCGCCCTCCTGAATGACGACGTCGTCGAGCATTTGCTTCTGCGACGCCTTGCGTAGAATGTTGGCTTCGATCGTGTGCTCGCTGACGAGCCGGTAAATGTGCACGTCGCGTGTTTGGCCGATACGGTGACACCTGTCCTGACACTGCTTGTCCATGGCAGGGTTCCAGTCTTGGTCGTAGAAAATGACCGTGTCGGCGCCGGTCAGGTTGATGCCCAGGCCGCCCGACCGGGTTGAGAGGATGAAACAGAGGATGCGCGGGTCGTTGTTGAACCTGTCCGTGAGGATCTGTCGCTGCTCGACCTTGGTAGCGCCATCGAGCCGCAGGTACTTGTGGCCGTGGATGTTAAGGAACTGCTCAAGAATGTTGAGAACTTTGGTCATCTGCGTGAAGATCAACGCACGATGGCCGCCAGCCTGGAGCTTGCGAAGCAGCTTGTCAAGTGCCTGAAGTTTGCCACAATCGTACTGAAGGAGACGCTTGTCGGGGAACTGAATACTCAACCGCATCCTAGCCTCGTGCCATGGGTCGTGCGGTGCCTGTTTCTGCATGAACGGCGCCCAGCGCACTGGTGCGGAGAGACTGAGGTCGGCCTCGGTGAACGCGTCGATGGCTCGCTTGCCGAGTACGATTTCAGTCATGTCTCGCGTGATGACCGATGGCGTCACGCACGCAAACTTTTGAATCGTCGTTTCCATGGACGCTACCCTGTCGTCCATGCTGTGGATTGTCGCGCGCAGGAATCCTGAGTCCTCAGCAAACCAGTTGAGGATGTTCTTCGCAACCCTGGGGCGGGGCTTACGAGGCCGCTGTTGCAGGTTCAAGGTCAGGAACTGGACTAATCGCTTGCCATATATCGGACGGCGTTGTCCGCGGAGGGCGTTGAGGTACACGCAATGTTGCAGCTCTTCGAAACGTCGCCATCTGCCGAGGCTTTCAAGATAGACCAGATTGGACTCAGCGGTTGAAGGGTCGAGGTTGGTACGAGCCATGTGCGCGCGCGCATTTTGGGCTTCCCGGAGGTCCAGCAGTACTCGATGCAAGCTCAACTGAGAGATGCGCTCTGCAACGGTGTTGGAAAGCCCTTCATGTTGCGTGGGGATCAGATTGACCACGCCGAGACTGACGAGCTTCATGGCATCCTGCGCCAGGATTGTCCGCTGTAGAAACTCGTTCGTGTCGTTGTAGTCGGCAGCAACGCTCTTTTGCATTCGGAAGGAGGTCATGATGGGCCGATCGACGAAAAGGTCTGGATGATTGCACACTTTCCGCAACTGCATCAAACAATTAATAATGGACATGTAGTTGCCGGATGCCAGGGTGTCACGGGTATCAGCCCGAGCCAAGAAGCCGTCGTAGAGTTCCCTCTGCCGCTTTGACAAGCGGCAGAACTCGACGTGTTCGTACTTGGCGGGCATCTGCTTCTCAACATCGGCCTTGAGTCGCCGAAGCAGGTACGGTCTCAAAACCTTGTGCAACTTGGAAATAATCGCCCGCGCTTCCTCGTCCATGGTTTCGCGGCCGCTCTCGAGAATCTGAGACTCTGGCTTATGAAACCAATCATGGAACTCCTGCAAATCGGCAAAACCACCAACACCATTCTCCGACGGCATAAGGAAGAAGAGCAGCGACCACAACTCGGTCAGGTTGTTCTGCAGCGGCGTGCCTGTGAGCAGCAGTCGGGCGCGCGTGTTGAAACCCAGCAGTGTCTGCCATCGCTGAGACTTGAAGTTTTTGATGTTGTGCGCCTCGTCGAGGATGAGGTAGTGCCACTTTCGGCGCTTGAAGACCTGCTGGTCTTGAAGGACAAGCTGGTAAGAAGTGATGCAGACGTTCCACACGTCGTCATTGTTCCATCCGTGGCGCTTCCGCTTCCGCTCCTCCTGTGTGCCATAGTAGGACAGAATCTTGAAGCCAGGCAAGAACTTCTTGAACTCCATCTCCCAGTTGAGCATGACACTCGTCGGCACCACAACCAAGTGCGGGCCCCAGACTTCATGATGACACGCGAGATGGGCCAGTAGCGCGATTGTCTGGATCGTCTTGCCCAGGCCCATCTCGTCAGCGAGGATACCATTGGTGTTGTTGGCATAAAGACCTGCCAACCAATCCAAGCCAAAATGTTGGTACTCTCGAAGAGTGCCGCGAAGGAGGAAGGGAACTTCGGTCTTTGCAGCTGATGCTGGACTGGGCGACACAGATCTACTCGTGTCGTCCTTGGATGCCGGGATGAGTGCTGCCGAGTCGGCTTCTGACTGCTTTGAGTCGGGTGTGGGTGACGAAGTGGGCTTCCCAGACTCTGGCGGCGCCATGATCGTATCTGCACCAGAAATTGTGGGTTTAGCTTGCGTAGACTGCGGAGATGTGATGGCAAGCTCTGGGAGAGATTCCAGAAGCACCGGCGCATCGGTCATGTCAACGTCTTGGGATGGAGCTATTGTCGCATCCGGTGTAGCCACGAGACTGTGTGCAATGCCGTTGGTCACAGGCTCGTCGACTACTGCAGTCTCAACATGGCCGTTGGTAGTTGGTCGCTCGCCGTCGCCCACATCAGGAGTATCGTCGCCTGTGACTGGGTCTGACGGTGGGATTGTGACCAGCTCAGGTTCATCGTCATCCTCGTCTTCCAGGTCGTCGTGCAAGGCCAACGAAACATCATGCTTCTTCCCAGAGTCCCATGCAGGCAGTGGCAGGTCCCGCGGCTTGATTGGTGTTTCGAGCGCTTTCTTCTTGTCATCCTGCTCAGACGGCAGTTCTGATTGATCTTCCGTCTCGCCTTCCGGGGTTTCTTGCATCTGTTGCAGCTCTTTCTTGTCGAAAAAGAGCCCTAGAAGGTTCGCAGGTTCCCCTGCATCGGAATCCCCTTCCGAACCCGACCCAGTCTCCATGTCGTCATCATCATCCTCGTCGCTGCCTTCATCACTGGAGCCCATGTCGTCGTCCATGTCGATTGATTCATCGGTCGAGTCGCTCCCTCCGTCTCCACTCGTGGTCGCGCCGGGGCTTGTCCTTATCCCATTAGCTATTTTGTCTTCGTCTTCCTTGACCAAGTCGGGAATATTCGAGTACTTCGCCCGTAGTTGATCTTGCGTAAGGGTTTCGTCTGCAGCATCCACCAGAGAGTCGTTCGCCGGCTCATCGTCTTCGTCAGATGAAGACATGACGTCATCGTCTCCAGAGTCGTCGTCGTCGGCATCCATCGACGATGCGCTGTCATGTCCCATGGCGTTTTCGTCGTCAGTAGCAGCCAAGTCGTTCTCCGAGTCCTCCTCGTCGATGTCCTCGTCGTCTTCCTCGTCCTCATCGCTACCGATCTGGCCGCGCTGGGCCTGTAGCTTCTGCTCGGACAGGCTGACTGCTTCGTTCAGAGCAGCCTTGACACGCCGCTGCTCTTCCACCTCCCATTGTTGTAGCCTCCTCCTGTTGATCTCGGCTCGCACGTTCTCCCACGTCCCGTGCATGACCTTGGCCACGATACGGTACCGCGTGATCCAGTAGTCTCTCGCCTCAGCCTCGAGCACTTCTGCGGATTTGGGCTGCCGGCGTAGCCATGCGTCTCGACAGGCCTCGGCCAGCCTTTTCGCTTGTGTTTTGTGTCGCTGTCGTTCCGCCAACATGAGCTTCCGAAAGTTGGTCGCTGCCTTGACCATGTGATCCTGGTGCGCCCATTGACGAGGTGGCTCTTCTTCGGGTTCGGGAACGAAGGCGGTACATCGCCCTTCGGACAAGATGCCTCCTGGTTCCACAGCATTTTCGATTCGCAGTATTGTCCGCGCATCCTCCTCGGCCATGGTATCCGTGTATTGCTCCTCGGCGGCGAGGTAGCCGCCATCTTGGAGGGGTATTTGGGTGGCCTTGGCCCAGTATTCTTCAAAGCTCGGTCCGATCTTGGGTCTCTTGCTCATTTGCAAAGGGTGGACGAGTGGGATCGTGCCTCGCGGTCGATACTTGGTGGAGCGTAGCGACTCCTGAATCGGAGACGAGGCATCTTCGTCGACGGAGCCACGTGTAGGTCTTCGCGTGCGCGTCGAGTGCCTAGTGGGATGGGAGGACGGCGAGGGTGTTCGTTTTCGGGAGATTCGAGAGGAGGGGGTTCGGTTTGAGGTTCTACCAGGCTGCGCAGAGGCCTTGGATGAAGTGGTCCTGCCGCTGGCGTTCTTGGGCGTGCCCCTGGCCGCGGCAGCCTGCTTCTGCTTGGTCGTCGCATGTCCGTTTGTCGTGACTTGTGTCTTCTTGACTACTGGGCTCGCACGCGGCTGTCTTGATTTGCGGGACGCCGGAGGAGATTGGGAATCTAGGAGAGCAAGGTTGATGCGGCCAGATTTGCGCCTGCCGTTCTCCGTGAAGGAGGTTGGGCCCTCGGCGCCGGCCTTTTTCCATGGCGGAGACTCGAGTTTCTTGCCGTTGATGCGGGCAGCGGACGGCGGCGGCGTAGACTCGTGGAGGCGTCGCCTCTTGGATGGAGGGCCATCGTCGGCATCGGCGTCGTCTTGTGTTGGTGATTCTGGTTGTGGGGCAAGGTCGAGGAAGCCGTTTGCTGCGGGCTCGAGGTCTGAGAGCTCGGAGAGTTCGGATGAGGATTCTCTCGTGATGGCAAAGTTGTTCGTGGCGGCTTCACTGATCGCCGACGCGTCTTGGTCGTCGCGTAGAGGCCCAGGGACGGCCGAGTCTGCATGCGCGGTCTCGGGCGACGCGGTCCTGGTCATAGTAGCAACAGGGCGAAGGGGGGAAGGAGGGTCGTGATCTCGACGAACAGCGCATTTGGGGGGATAAAATTGCGGTCGGGAGATTCGTAGTGATTCATACAAGTCTGCTTTCGATTCTGAGCATGCTCACGGTGTCTGGGCGCTGGCTATGACGGATTTTGATGGAATTCCAGGCGTCACCAGCAAAAAGTCTGAAGCTGGAGATTTTGAGTGACGAGACGGTTCTCTTTGGGGGGGGGCCACCCCTGTGCTGCCTTGAGCGTGCTTGCCCAGGTTCCCTTACCTACCGTGCACCTTTAGGTAGGTAGGTACCTAGGTAGGTACCAACTTAGGTACCTACCGTCACCAGGTAGCCAGTCTGCCACCTCAAGGACAGCTGGGGCCACTGGCCGTGCCAGTCCGCGCGAGTCGCGACTGGTCTAACCCGTTATGGGCACCAGAAGCAGGGAGGACGGCTTACCTACGCGAGCTCTTTCGGTGGTGGTGCCTCCCAGAGTTGTGGGGGCCTCGAACCAAAAGTCAGTGTCTGTCTACCTACCCTTCAATTCCTTGCCTGAGGCATCTGCAACTCGTCGTGTGGGCCATTGGCATCCATCATCGTCTGCATTTGAGCCTCACGACAGCAACGACATAGAGTCAGGACATCAATCGGGTCACATCGAGACCACCAATTGGCCAAGGTGAGTGCCTCAAACCTGTTCCTCTCCTGCCTAATTGACTGACCAAGGCTGTTTCGCCCATTCCAGATGCTGTCTCGACGAATTGCGCGGGTCTCGACCATCCGCAGCACGGGTGCTGCTCTGGCAGCTCCCGCCCGCCGCCTTCCCACCATCCAGCAGCGAACCTTCTTCCCCGACGGCATCAACGACAAAAAGACCCTCGAGGCCAAGTACCCCGACTACCCTGCTCTCACCGAGGCGGAGGACCCCGGCATGGTTAGTTTCTGGTGGACGCGCGCGAGCAGAGCAGCGGCCCCCGGCTGTTGCTCAAGCAGACAGCGGAGCACGCAAAACACAGAGGCAGGAGACTCGAGGCTAATGACATTTGGGCTTGACAGAACGGCGGCTACGTCAACCCTCCCTTCATCAAGCGCCAGCACCGCGACCCCTACGGCAACTGGTGGGACAAGCAGGAGAGGCGCAACTTTGGCGAGCCCGTCCACGAGGACCACGATCTCCTCGGCATCTTCTCCCCCTACGAGTACACCTGGACCACCGCCGGCCCCGGCGCTCTCATGATCGGCACCTTTGTCGCGACCTTCCTTGTCGTCGTCGGTGCCATCTACGTCACGTACCCCGACAGGCCCACGTTCCCCAGGGAATTCGAGAACGGTCTGCAGAGGGAGCTTGGTGGCGCCAGCGCCCTGAGGGTATGGCTGTCCCTTTTTTACTCCGTCGTTTTGGAAAACACTGCTAACACAGTACAGGCGAGGCAGGAGGGTGACGAGGATCCTTGAGCGTGAACGGGAAACCTGGAATCTGACATCACTGTGTACATAAGCGGGGGCAGTGGAAGACTATAGCAGAGGAACCAGTACCTTTATCTTTCGGCAGTGTGTGTGCGCGCGGCCTTCTGGTGTTCGAGCGTAATCGTGGGCGCCCTGGATTGACGAGAAATTCTGGCGTGTCAAGCCGGTGTCAATTGGCTGGCATCATGCATACACCATGACTGAGCCTTTCAGCAGACGGCCACGTAACTGACTCTCTCCGCCAAATTTTCTCGACTCGCAGCTGTTTTGCTTCTATCCTGCGTGGCCATCGTTGAACGCTGCCTACATGGTGAACAAGGCTACCGGGTAGAGCCTGCTCCTGTCATAGCGTCATATTACTTGTCTCATCAGCCGAGGTACTGACAGGCACAGTTTACTGGCTCTTTCAGCACCCAAACTCTTCTCAGGCGCTGAAGCGGTAGTATGAAGGGTTCAAGATGACCAGCATCGGGTTTGTGGTGGAAACGCCGTCGACACGGTTGCCTTTAAGCGACCTCCCTTCATGAGGCAGCACGTGAGATATAGGACTTGCATTGAGTCGTGGTTACGATGCAGTCGACTACTGCAAGCGGATGTGTTTGTTGTTCTTCACCAACTCCGTCTGACGCCGAGTATGTCTGCAGAGGCCAGCCGATTAGGGGGCATATCATTAATGTCTCGATGTCGTCCGCAGTTTGATGTGGCTAGAAAGCAAGGGTTCTGGCTTGACCTAGAGTCGGGACACCGCCCCACGGTACATGTAATTATCCGTGGTAGTTGTGTCTATACAAAAGCAGCCAGCGGGCAAACGGGATAACTTATTGCAGCAACCGGCCCAAAATGTCCCCTACCCGGTCAGTGCAGAGAAGTCAGTCATCGGGACGGAGAATTGAAACCGTCCGTATATTTTCCTCGGACGTGGTCCACCACCAGAACCTGCACACGTTATGTGACAAAACGATCAAGCCAAGGCAATTAGCGAGACTTGAATCATGGTGCGAAATTCTAGGGAGCGCCTCAGGCAATGCGTCGCCGTTTTCGGGTGACGATTTCTAAGGTAACGTGGGTGATAGAACAGCGTCGAACATTTGTCAGCTCCGCTCCTCTCGGGGCGAATCTCCAACCCGATAGCTCCGCATCAACCTTCTTTCAACGCGATCCATTGGCAATGCAGTGCTAGTGCTGCAACAGGATCTCGATTGTGTGATCAACCTGTGATGTCTTGTCTTGTTGGTGGAGCCGGATTACGTTTGTCAGGAAGGTGTAGCGCAGATCGGACAGGTTTCACTGCGTTTCCTGACGAACGATGAGGTCGTCGTCCGCAGATAAATAAGGGCCGATGTGCGTCTCTGAGTATAGGAAGTAAAAATAAAAGAAAAAGGTTCTCACAGCATCGCTATAACACATCGCAACCAAATCCGCCGCGCAATAGATGATCTTTGTCGTGGAAACACATCGCAACTGAGCCCCCTGGAAGTAAAACGCACTGCATCTCACCTTAGACGCCACACCACGATGAAGGAGGCCATCGTCACCAAGGAAATCACAATCCAGATCAAGGATGTTGAGCGTCCGAAGCCCGGACCTGGAGAGGTGCTGATCAAGGTCATCGTCGCAGGTTCGACTACCTCCCTCTCTTCGCTTCAATGACGTCATGTTCACTCCCACTGACACAAGCTGCCTTTCCCAGGTACCAACCCCAAGGACTGGAAGCTCCCCGTCTGGCTTGAGGCGTGCGCCAACACCAACACGGGCGACGATGTCGCTGGCACGGTCGAGGAGCTTGGCGACAATGTCATTGGCTTCACAAAGGGCGACCGCGTCGCCGCCTTTCATGTCATGAATACACCGCACGGCGCCTTTGCTGAGTACGCCATCGCTCCCGCCAACACTGTCTTCGCCCTGCCTGCTTCTGTTTCCTACGAGGAGGCCGCTACTCTGCCGCTGGCGGCCTACACTTCGGCTGTCGCCCTTTTCGACCGGCTCGAATTCCCCTCCCCGTGGGACGCCGAGGCTGGGCGTTCTGGCGAAGACAAGAAGAAGAGGCCCGTCATCATCTATGGTGCTTCGACAGCTATTGGCGCCTTCGCCATCAAGCTGGCGCAAAAGGCCAACATTCACCCCGTCATCGCCGTCGGCAGCAAGAACAGCGAGTTTGTCGTGCCGTTCCTGGACTCCGCCAAGGGAGACCGTATCGTCGACTACACAGCGTACAAAACACCCGATGAGCTCGTCGCCGCGCTTAAGGATGCTGCCAAGGAGGCAGGAGTCGAGGATGGACGCGTGTTCGACGCCTACGACTGCGTCTCGGAGAACGGGACGTACGTCACCCTGAGCAAGGTCCTCGCGGGCCCGCCCGATGCGAGCGGTCGGAAACCTAGGATCACGACTGTCCTACCTGTTGATGAGAGCACGGCCGACTCGAGCGTCCAGTTCACGCGTACTATGGTCGACCACGTACACAAGCAACCTTTGTTCGGCGCAGTCTGGTCGGCCGCCTTTGCGAGTGGCCTGAGCGAAGGCTGGTTCACGCCTCATCCCTACGAGGTTGTGAAGGGAGGGCTTGCGGGATTAGAAGGCGCTCTGAAGGGTCTCAAGGACGGCTCAGTGAGGGCAAAGAAGATGGTGATCCGCATTGGTGAGACCGAGGGGGTTACGCAGTAAGAGAGTAGTAGCCAGGTTAAGTAACATTTAACATTTCGGCTTTCAAGCCGATTACACTCCCAGTCCATTGTACCAACTTCCTTTGGCATGTTGTCGTTATTCCACAGAAACCCATCTGCCTAAGTGACGTGCGTATAAAGTTATTGTAACAAGTCGTAGCCAAGCGCAATTACTCTGTTGAAAACAACATAGGCCTGATAGGCTGTGAGGTCTCAGAGTTAGCAGCCTACCTCTTTCGGTCTCTGTACTGTCTATTCGCCGCTGCTAGTTTACTCATAGATCAAGTTCGAGCAGGGATAGGTTACCTTTATGAGAGGCCTCTTAGAGGGTCTTAGTCGTCTTGCGGCTCCGAAGAATGAGGCGGTGATAGTGCGCACCTTCTTTGCACAGTATCAGTAGTTTGAGGAGTATTTAACGTAAGTGGTCTCTTGGACGGGGGGCGGTAGAACAGTTCTCATATAGCTCATGAATGGCTTCGATAGTTTACTCTCTTCCACAGAGGTCATAACTATCATTCTACGGAGAATAGGCTTTCTCAGTTATCCCGCGTTGAATAGTCAGTCAGACAACCTATCGGAGCACAAATACAAAATAAATGAGATAGGAGATAAACAGTCCTCACGATGTTGATCGCTGGGCCTCGACTGTAGGACCTTAGGGCAGCACTACTATGACCGCGTTCTAGTTCTGCCCAAACCACGCCCTGACATCAGTCTGTTTGACTTCCAGTTTGCCTTGCCCGTCGAGAAAGTTTGCTGCAAAAGTAGTGCTCCATCCCGCCCTGCCGCACTCTAGTCTGGGATAACGGAAATTCGGAGTTCGGCAGGTCGACCGTGTGATGATCATTCAATGACAGCACACTGCGGAAACAGAACACTAGCACTGGCTCGGTCTGAGCGTTTTACACAATTCAATGGACATCCTGACGGACGCCGATCTCCAACGGCCGTGCCGAACGCCGTTCTCTGGATCGATTGGAGAGGCACCAACCCAATCGACCCGTTATCTGACATCACCACTTCTGGCCTCATCCTAAGGTTTCGGTGAGCTACCCTACTATGAGATGTTAGGCCATTTAATCGTTCTAGAATTCTCGAACATCGCAGTTATGGACAATTTTGAACCAGATATTGGAAGATACTACGATGGCAAGCTCTTCTCAGGAGCCGCGGCGGAATGAAGTGCCTGACGAGAGGGCCGACTCGAACAGTCAAGAGAGCGCGGTTGACGCCTGGTCTTCCACTGCTATCCACCAACCCACACACCGGCCACCCCATCATGCAGTAGGCTTCTGGCACCCACGGATGCGCAAGGTGCGGACACATGTTATTGTGTTATGGCTTCGGACAAGTATGTTGTGCTGCGAACCCTCCAACTGCTCTCGCGACGGTAGCTTACATGATGGCAGTGCTCATATTGACTGTCTTCATCCTAAGCATCCTTTCCCTGTACTGGGCCGTTCTTTACCGATTGGAGGAGAATCTGCGCGCTCTTACGGTCCAAGTAGTTGATTTTGATGGCCTGGTTGAGCCTTACACCGGTGGCAGCCCGAAAATTGGACCACAGGTCGTCCAACTCACCGAGCAAATGCTCTCCATGTCGGGACCATCACTGGGATACCAGACTGTCCTCGCATCGCAGTTCGCTTATGACCCGCTGAAGGTTCGGGCGTCAGTGTACGAATGGGACTCTTGGGCTGCCATTGTCATCAATCCGAATGCCACGGCACTTCTGCAGCAGGCCGTCGAGACTGGAAATGCTTCCTACGACCCGACCGGTGCCGTGCAGATCATTTACCAGACCGCAAGAGATTCAACGACCGTCTCATCATACCTCTCCCCCATGCTGCAGCAGTTTATAAGCCAGTTCACAGCTCAATTTGGCCCAAGCTGGGGGGCCATGGTCATGTCCAATTCATCTCTCACACGGGATAACTTGGCTTCGGCGGCGGCGGCAGTCAATCCGGGCATCTCGCCTCTGATGTACGACCTGCGACCTTTTCAGCCTGCTGTTGTGACGCCGGCAGTCAGTATCGGACTGATCTACCTTATCATCATTGCATTCTTCTCCTTTAGTTTCTTTTTGCCTATTCATACCGTAGGTTCTTCAACTGGATCGTCACGAGGAGAAACTTGTTTACTGACTAGGGCAGAAATTCGTCGAACCTCAAGGTCACCCTCCACTTCACTTCTGGCAGTTCATCATATGGAGATGGATCGCCACGGTGGTCTGCTATATATTCATATCCTTGATATACTCGCTCATCTCCCTCGCCTTCCAGATCTCGCTCACGCCCGGTCCAGCAAGTCACGTCTTCTCACCTCCGTTAAGCGGCGCAACAGCCTATGGGCATGGAAGCTTCGCCGTCTACTGGATGCTCAACTTCTCTGGCATGTGCGCTCTCGGCATTGCATGCGAAAACGTGGCCATGATGATCGGCCAGCCGTGGACGGCGCTTTGGCTCATCTTCTGGGTCATCACCAACGTCAGCACATCATTCTACTCGATGGATCTCGCACCTGGGTTCTACCACTGGGGTCGCGCATGGCCGCTGCACCAGGTCGTCGAGGCGAGCCGCCATATTTTATTTGATCTGCATTCCAGGATAGGCATCAACTTTGGCATTCTCTTTGCGTGGGCAGCCGTCAACACGGCGCTGTTTCCATGCTGCTGTTATTTCAGGCGGTGGAGCACCGGGCGTGCGAAGCGCAAGGCGGAGATGGAGAAGGATCGATACGTGGTGCACGACGGGGAAGAGAAGAAGGAGACTGCCAAGGCGACAGGCGTAAAGCCTCCTATTCGTAAGAGAGGGTTCATGAGAGAGGTGTGACGGGTCGCATCGTTGAATTCGAAGAACTGAAAACCGCCAAGAAATACAGTACAACAATTCATCATCCCATCATTTGTCTCCATACTGGTAGATGCCCTCCTCGAGCCCCTTGATCTGTAAGGCCAGCAGCTTGGAGAAGAACCGACAGAGAGCCAGGTTGCCGCCGTGGAACCAAAACCCAGGATGTCCACTCTTGGTCCAGATGATGCGCTGCTCCCCTTCTTCATTATACCCCCAGATATCCCCAACCTGGTCCGCAACTTGGTCGCCAAAAATAGCTCTCGTCTCAGTGCGCATGTTCTGGTAGCCCGTGGCAAAGACTATCTCGTCGGCCTCAAGTTCTGACCCATCAGCAAACCGCAGACCTTGCGGCAGCACCTCGGTGATCTCCTGGCCTTGCTTGATCTTGATACGGCCCTCTACAATGAGCCGCGACGCGCCAACGTCAATGTAGTAGCCACCGCCACGCTGAAAGTATTTCATGAGAAGACCCGCGTCATCAGGCCCTCTGTCGACCTTGAACCCAGCACGCTCGAGTCCGTCAATGGTATCCCGATCCATGGCGTTCTGCTTGGCCGTGATCAAGACCTGGTCCGCCTTGAGCACGGACGCCGGCAAGCTGTGCAGCAGCAAGTCGGCCTCCTCGACCGGCGGCGAAGTTTCGGAATACAGACTGCCGAGCGCAATCTCGGTGATGCCCTCGGACGAGATGACGCATGTCGTCGACCGCTGCACCATGGTGACATCGTAGCCGCGCTCGACAAAGTCCTGTGCAATGTCGTGGCCCGAGTTGCAGGAGCCGACGACGATAGCGCGCGTTCCGGGAGTAACGGAGGCGCGGGCGCCGGGAAACTCGGACGAGTGGCACAGGAGATGGCCCTCAAATGACGAAGCGCCACGAATGACAGGCAGGTTCTTCTTACCCGAGTGGCCTGTCGCCTGGATGACGTGCCGTGGGTGTAGGGTCCGTGTCTGTGTCGTGCCGTCGTCAAGAGTGCGGCGAATAGTGATATCCCATACGCGCGTATCTTCGTGCCATTGTGTGTCCGTTATGGTCGTCTTCATCCAAGCGTTGAGTTCCAGCAATTTGGCGTACGACTCGAAGAACTCGGCAAGCTTGTCCTTGGGCGTAAAGACGGGCCACTGTGGGGGGAACTTGATATATGGAAGGTGGTCGTACCACACGGGATCGTGGAGAACGAGCTGATGATATCGCTTGCGCCAGTTGTCACCGATGCGGTCGTTCTGATCGACCATGAGCGAGGTGATGCCAATAGCTTTGAGGCGGGCCGAAATGGTGAGGCCAGCTTGGCCGGCGCCTGATGTCTGTTAGTAACTGGGCCTGTGTCCTGTTATTCATGCTTGTTTCTCTCACCAAGGATGAGGACAGCTGGCTCAATGTCCGGCTCAAGCTCAGCTTCTGCCTGTCGTCTCTCTACCCAGTTCTTGCGGCCGGGCTTGCCTCCATGCTCGACACCTCGGTCACGTCGTGAATTGACAGCCTCCTCGTGTCCCTTGATCTCCTGGAGCACAGTATAGAAGGTGAATACTTTCCACTTGTCGTCGTGATGGATGAGACGAGCAACACCGTCGCCGGTGCCAACAGTGGTCTGAAGTGTGAAGAAGAAAACGAGGCACGGCACGTTGGCATCGTGGTCGAGGAACGCCATTCCCGGCTTTCGTACATCAGACGTCTTATCGAGACTGATGCTCTTTAGACGAAACCCATCCTTGCTGCCGGCGCAGTCCTTCAGGAACTCTTGAATGCCAGAAGTGCCCCTGTGCGTCTGGAAGCTCCATGAGAGGGCGAGATGGTCGCGCCAGAAGCCCTCGTGATCAAAGAGGTCAACGACGGCAGCCAGATCACCCTTATCGATCGCCTTGTTGAACAGGTCTACCACGTCGGAAGCCACTTGTTCTGGCTTCACGTCTGTCGTGGGTGAAGGGTGGGGGAACTTAGCGACGGGAACGTTGACCGACCCGGGAACAGTCCGCATGTGCGACGGGGGCGCCTGTACGTCAGCCATTATGGGTAGTTGTTGTGAAGCTTTCAGAAAACTGCAAGAGGTATCGTTGCTTGGTATTTTATGTTCCAGCAAATGCGTCTTCAAATGAGGGGTTCGTTCACTGGGAACTGATAGACGACGTCACGCACCTATGCCGAGCCACTTCATGCACGTTGCACAGTAGCAGGCTACCTCTGGGCGGCTGTCGGCCTCTTGGTGGGGGGGTATACGAGACGTTGGCGTCAATAACAGCGTTCGAGCCGTGCCGCGGCAAGGCCCTGCATAGGCGGCCACCGGAACAGGCCAGCCGTGACGATCACCAACGACAGATGCATGCGAGCGCGGCCCTCCCCCGAATATTAACCCAACGTAGTGTCCAGAGTATGTACTGGTTGTTGGAGGTCAAGGGTCTGAGAAGAAAGGTGTGTGTATTGGGAAGCTATTCTCTAGGGCAGGAGGGTGCCTGGAACTAAGCTATGGGAGGTGCCAGGGCACAGGCCACCTGGCATCAGGTGAATGCCACTGGAAGCCCCAAGCGAATACCACCAACACTGGTAAGCAAACCCCGATCCGGGGAAGAAGACTTGACAGTTATCCCCCCAGACTCACGAACCGCCGTGTTACAAGGAGTCTGGGTTGAAAAGAACGGGTGGCCATGAGGCATATTTGATTCACATTGAAACATCAGAGGGTAAAGCGGCGATTCGCTTGCGTATATAGTCAGCTCACAACGCCGTATCGCACAAGACCCATAATGGCACCCAGAAGGATGGCAAACGGCGCCGCAACGCCAAAGTATCTTCCGCCAACAAACGCCGTTGCCGTCACAACAACCCACCAGGGATCATCCCCGAGACTCCTCCCCGACTGGAATCCCTCATCGATGTATCCGACTAGATAGATCCGATAGACGGCGGTGTAAATGAGACCGACGGCCGCCGCATTGATACCCCTAACCACTGCCTTCACCCAGGGCCGACTCCGGAGCACACCCCATACACCCATGGTTCCGTGTACGAGAACCATGCCTGGCGTGAAGATGCTGATAAAGGCGATGAGAGCCCCCACAGCTGCCGAGTGGCCGGCGTTGGCCGCCGTGAGACCGCCAAGGAAGACGGCAAAGTTAAAGTTGGGGCCGGGAAACGACTGGGCAATGGCAAGACCGATAAGGAAGTCGCGAGGACTGACCCAGCCCTCGGCCACGATGTATTCGCGAAGCAGGGGGATAACGACAGGGCCGCCGCCGAAGATGATTGTGCCGGCAAGGTAGAGGTTAGCAAAGAGGTTATAGAGAATAGGCCTCTCGGCGACCACACCGCGAATGACCATGACAACGAGGAATGTTGCGAAGAAGGTTGCAATCACAGCCGTGCCTGCCTTCCAGGAGAAGTTGAGGCGGTATTCCTGCGCAACGACACGGGGTTCCTCAGACTCTGCGGTGGACCGAGCATCTGCCTCTGACGAAGATGCCTGGCCTGTCTGTGAAGGTCCGGCTCGGGAATGTAGCGAAGGGGATGATCGGCCGTCAACAGCGGCCGGCTCCTTCACAGATTCGGAGGGCCGGGGCAGCACCTGCAGCTCGGTCCCAGCATCGCCGTTCTCCTGAGCTGCAGGGCCTGCGGGTTCCTTCTTTCGCCCAAAACAGGCTTCCAGCGTGTGCTTGACCTTCCTCACGGGCCGGTGCAGCCATCGGTAGTCGTGGATAATGGCCGCACAGCCAGCAGCGGCCATGAGTGTAGGGAAGTACCACAGGGCGTTGTACATCATGCCCGCCGAGGCACTGAGGAAGACGAGGATGCGCGTCAGCGGGTCGGTGATGGCCTTTTGCGACAGCTCGACGGCGGCCAGGGCAATAATGCCGACCGTGGCGGCGTTGAGACCAGACAGCAGGGCGTAGACGGCGCGTGGCAGAGTGTCACCGATGCTGGCGACGCCAACGGAAAGGCCGTACATGCCCAATGCGCCCGGCAGACTCCAGAGGACAAACGCGACAACCGCACCGAAGAGGCCATTCTGCAAGAGATTAATGCAATAGAGCATCTTGGTGCTGGCCGGCCCTGAGAGCGCCTGGGAGACGCTGAAGAGCTCCTGGTACTGAAGGCGAGTTAGCTTGAGCCATTGGCAACCGGTGAGATGGATAGGCGCACCATTTGCTCGTCGATCCATTTCAGCCGCTTGACAAACTTGTCATGAAACTGTGGTTATTAGCATCTGAGAAGCCATTGCTTGAGATCAAGTGCCATACTATCTTGAAGTGCACGGGAGGACCGCCAAAGGCAGTCAGGCCCAAATGCCAATTGACCTTGAACGTGGCCGCGGCGCGCTGGCCGGCGACCTCGAGGCTCCGATCCCAATTCCACCAAGAGCGATGCATTTTTGACTCTGAGTCAACAAGTGTCTGAAGACGCAACGTGGGTCGGAGACACGGCCATGGGGACGATCTTTGCAAGGTGTCTGGGGTTCGTCGGCGATCTGGCCTAGTCACGAGAAATGGCGTGCGCACAGTCGTGGGTCTTGGCGCTGGCGGATGGTGCGCCAGTCAACTCATCACCTACCTTAGTGCAAACATAACGATACCATGCTTCACAGAGTGAATGCTGAGATCTACGGTGTCAAATGGCGAGAAGACTCGAGTTGGTCATTGGTTGTCCACCCTAGTATGGCTACATGACCACTGATATGAATGAATTTGGCCCTACCCGATACATTTCATGGCCTGTCTTCAGACGACTATCCGACCCTCAAGCACCCTGCGTTCGCTCTCTACAACAAGCGGTCCGCCGCCGGGCCCACTAGAGTCCAAGCTGAGTGTGACCTTCTCCCGATCAGCAATGACCCGGACCGTCTCGCCCAGATTCCGAAAATCCGTCTCGCAGTGTCCCTGCGTCGGCGGCAGCCCGTCCTCCTCCGCTTTAGCCTCCCTCATGTCAACGCTCGGATACGGCAGCCAGCCCTCACGGAGGGGCACCATGATCAGCGGGATGTTGACGACCG